GCGTGTGCGTGCGTGCCCAAGATCCCAAGAGGAGAATGGAGGAGAAGGGATTGCGGCGTGACCATCCCCCCTGGGGGGTGATTCTCGCTTTCTGTCTCTATGTCTCTCTCTGTCTGTCTGGCAAGCCCTATAGCAAAAACCTCTCCAAAAAGAAAAAAAAAAAATAGGCCCCTTTGTCAATATGAAGATCCTACCGCAGGCTTACTTCTTGGCAAAGATTTTTAGACTTGAGAAAACCCAGGATTACTGGTCTCTTATTCTCCCCTTCTTTCTAACTATAATCTTGTATAGGTAAATACATAAAACTCATGGGATGTCTTAAGATTTACATAAAAGTTAATACTTGATAATATTCTAAGCATCCGTTACATCAAATTCATAAAGATTTATACTTACCTTATTGTTTATAACCACATAAAAATGAGAGGTCACAGTAGGGAAGATATTCAGTCCAGCTTCTTTCAGAGCAATAATGAAAGGAATAGGAGTCATCCACTTTCCTTCCAAAATAGAGAACTGTTCTTTGTTTTTTAGTTTAACTGAAGCTAACATGCAGAGGTTTTCCTAGTTTACAAAAAAAGAAGCTTTTATGCAAGTTAATCAACGATAGCTTCAGTATCATTCCAGATCTAGCTTTTTGGTTCTTTATACTATTTTAAAATTTTATTCTCACTCTATATTAGAAAGAATGTAGATTGGGCTGGCAGGTGGCATTGTGGTTAAAGGTGCTGGATTCCCATGTGGCCGACCATGGTTTGAGTCCTGGACCTGGAGGCTTGCTTTCTCACTTTCCCTTTCTCTCTCGTTCTCTGTTTGGTCAAATTAAAAATTGATAATAACAAATGGAGTTAAACAAATAAATCTTTAAAAGAAGAATGCAGGCAGGTATGTTTTAGTCTGGATCTGAAGGCTCCACCAGAGTCTTGTTACCTGGGCAGTTTACTTAACTCTTTCTGAGAGTCATCTGAACAGCCAACGGACTAGATTAAAAGATCTTTCAGTTTTTCTGTTTTATTAGTTATGACCCAAGAATACTATATGTGTTCATATTGAATTAAAATAGCTATTTGATAACAGTCATGATTGCACTTTTAAGGATTATTTTTACTTTTTACACATGTAAGATTTAACATAATGATGCAAAATTCTCCAGTTCTTAAGTATAGCAAAGTGGCAATTTGAAGGTGTACAGAGTTCAGATTTCTCATTTTTAAAAATCTTACTGTATTTAATATCTAAAATAGTTTAATATGTAATTAGGGCAAAAATTATTGAGACAGTTTGCATTCTTTTTCATACAACATATTCAAAACCTTTGATGTGCATTTTACTGTCATGGCACATGTTACTTTGGACTAGCCACATTTCAGAGTTCAATAGACACGTGTGTCTAGCAGCTGCTGTATTAGCACAGAAGTTCCTTTAAAATCTGACCCGAACATGCTCACTAAGCAATCCTTGGTGTTCCCATCTTCATATTTATAATGGACATTGTGAAGGTGTCTGTGTCTTTCCATGACAGTAGGGAGATCTGTGCACAGGGGTCTTCAGGGCTGCTGGGATAGTACAGGGGAAGCGGCACCGACTGGGTTAGAAAGTTTTGACAGGAGTCTCCTTCACTATCATCTCCTTACATACTCTTAGGAAGGTCACTTAGGGACCAGCAGTTAGCATAATGGCTATGTTGCTGGACTCCCATGTAGTCGACCGCGGTTCGCATCCCGGACCCGGAGGAGAAGGGATTGCGGTGTGGCCATCCCCCCTGGGGGGATGATTTCTCGCTTTCTGTCTCTCTGTCTCTCTGGTGAGCACACTCACCCTATAGCAAAAACCTCTTAAAAAAATAAAAAACGGAAGGTCACTTAACCTCCTAACTTTTGGGGACCTCAGTTTCCCTCTCTGGGAATGGTGCAGTAGTAACAAAAGTGGACCGATATGGGGGAGGGGGGGAGGTCCTGGATGTGTGTCTTAGGACCTCCCTGAATACTCTAGGTATGTGCACATTGTGTGTGGCTGTGAGTCTGACCTGACAAGATGGGGGTGGATCATGGCCTGGGGACCCTGTTGGGAGCGCCTGTCTTTCTCTCTCTCTGTCTCTCTCATGGAAGAAATGAATATGTAAACACTTTTTTAAAAATGTGAGTATTCTAGAAATGTTTAAGGGCCTTTGTAGCACTAATGAGCTTGAGCTCTGCATTTCCCCTCTCACCTAGTTTTAACAACAAAATTTGATAATATTTTAGTTTTCCTATTACATTCATAAGAAAGTTCAGGCTACTTTCTCCTTTAAAAACAATGTAGCTCTTACTGAGCATATTTTACTTATAAAATTCACCTATTTCAAGTGTACAGTACAAAGATTTGTAATGACTTTACTGAGGATACAACTATCACCATAAATTGACTTTTTACCATTTTCATCCCTCCTAAGGAGATTCCCTTTAAAGCTCACTTACAGTTAATTATCATTCCTATCTTCAGCCCAAGGCAACCATTAATCTGCTTTTGTCTCTAAATTTCATGCTACCCAATTTCTGACTGATGAACAAGAGAGACTCATTCAGAGAGAAAACAAACTTAAAGAGGATTTCAAAGAGTTGGAAGATTAAAATCAGACCTCTTTAGAGTGGATCAAATATTCTGAAATTCACATTATAACTAGGCATATTAGTTCATTGTTCTCCCCACCTTCCTTTTTTGTTTTTGTTTTTGCTATAATGCATGTGTGCTTGCCGGGGAAAGACAGAGAGAGGGAAAGTGAGAAATCGTCCCCTAGGGAGATGGCCACACAGCAAACCCTTTTCCTGTTGAATTTTAGGCATGTACACATGCATACATGCCTGGTATGTTTTTCAAGCTGTGGTGTCCAGGACTCAAACCACGCAGTCAGCCATGTGGGATCCAGTTGCCCTAACTAGCATGCCACTGGCTGGCCCTGTTGGTTCATTATTCTATCCTTAGTAACTTTGTGGTACGAGTTTGAGCCTCACTGTTTAAATGGTATTAATTATCTCATTACATTAATGAAAATTAACCTTTCATTTAGAAATGTATAAAAGACATTGTAATATATACACCAACAGTGATTGATTGCTTTGACACACTATTATACCTATCAAAGAGGCATACTTCTTTGATATGACTTTTGTAACTCACCTTAATTTGTATTTTTATCTCAGTAAATACTGTAGTCACGGTCAAAAGTACTTTATTCACATCAAGCGGTCTTAGTTCCCATGACTGGTATGGCATGTTAATATGAGTATCTTGAATCAAGGTAACAGGGCCAAAGGTGTCCAGGCTGAATGTTATAAGTCTTTCTTCTGATTTGTAAGATACATTACTGATGCCATCAGTTCTCCAATATTTACCTTTATGATAAATGAAGAAAGTGACATTGGTTTTCACTTTAGTTCTATTTAAAAAAATGGATGACTAAAGCCTCCCAAGTAACTTCGAGGTGTATAATCCTATCTTTGCCATTTTGAATAGAATCTCAGATGTGAGGGCAATCTAGCTGCAACATCTGTCACACCATTGAACACCAGGGTTGATTTACATGATCTTGCTGGGTAAGTGAGTGTCCCTTTTCTCCCTCATCACATCCTGTGCATTCCTCCTGAAACCATGCACTTGGTCAAAAAGAATGTCTTCCTCCACTTGAGGAGGGCCGTTCTTCGGTTAAGGATATACAAGTAGTTGCACTCCCCTGCTACAAACTCCAAACAAACACAGAATCTCAACAAAAAGTCAGCTCTGCTGTGAGCACCTCCTGTCTACAGGATCCAGTCCAAACCCCTTAGTGTGGTATGTAAGACCTTTGGGATGAAGCTTTGATCTGCTTTCCTGGCTTCTTCCTGCCATTTCTATTGTAACACCTGATTTCCACCCCACATTTTTACCTCCTACATCACATAACTTGGTGATTCTGCAAATGTAGTTCTTTCTACCTAGAAAACACTTCCCTAACTTTTTAGAGAAAATTCTCATCTTTGTTTTAAAACAGCTTTAAAATTCACCTGTTTTAAGTGTACAATTATTTTAGTAAGTTCACCTATTTGTGCAACCATCACAATCTTGTTTTTTAATTTATTTAACTTTAATCACTGTACATCTTCACAGTGCACAACATAGTTTTCCCAGCATGAATACAATGCATACTAGTCAAGTCAGAGACATCACCATATGCCTTATCATCAACAGGTAACTTTGATTTTTGTTTCTATTAAATGTATTGTTTTTTTCCTTGATTCCCTCCCTCCCACCCACTATTACCCACTTCCTATTACTCATCCCCACAGTCTCTAGTATCTATAGTTGTCTTCCCTGTTGTTATACCTTCTAATCTTTCAGTTTCTGCTATGGAGTGCAGACATTTAGTATATATTGAGTGGAGACATTCTATGCCCATCTTTCACAGTATGTTTTACTTTGTTTAATAGTATATCTTCCATATCTGTCCACTTTGTGTCAAATGTCAAGTTGTCTTTTTTTTTTTAATGACTGAATAGTATTCCATAGAGTACCTGTGCCACATTTTCAATCTATTCATCTGTTATTGGACATTTAGGTTGATTCCATGTCCAAGTAATTGTGAATAATGCTACAATAAATATGGATGTACAAATATTTTTCCGACTGAGTTTTTCCCTTTCCTCTGGATAGATACTTAAGAGTGGAATTACTGGGTTGTATGGTAGTTCTATTTGTAGGTTTCTGAGGAACTTCCATATTGTTCTCCAGAGACTGTACTAATTTACATTCCTTCCAACAGTGTAGGAGGAGGGTTCCCTTTTTCACTGCAGCCTTGTCAACACTTACCCATTCTTAATTTTTTAAGTCGTAGTCATTCTGACTGGGGTTAACTAGTATTTCATTGTGGTTTTAATTTGCATTTCCCTTATGATAAGAGATGTTGAGCATTTTTTTTATATGCTTTTTGGCCACTCATATATGTCTTTCTTGGAGAGTTGTCTGTCTCACTCATTTGCCCATATTTTAATGGGATCGATTTTTTTCTTTCTGGTAAGCTGTTTGAATTCCCTGTATATTTTGGTTAATAGTACCTTATTTGAGGCGTAGTTTGCAAATATCCTCACATTCTGAGAGTTGTCTTCTCACTCTAATCATTATTATTATTATTATTATTATTCTGTACTGTGCAGAGCTTTTTAGCCTGATCTAGTCCCACTTGTCTATTTTGGGAATTATTGCTTATGCTTTGGGGGTCTCTATTTAAGAAGTCTTTGCCTACTCTGACATCTTTAAGAGTTTCTCTTGTGTTTTCCACTAGTGGTTTTATACTTTGAGGTTTTATGTTTAGAGCCTGGATCCATTTTGAGTTGAATTTTGTTAATGGTGAGTAATAAGAGTCCAGTTCCATTTTTCTGCAGGTGAATATCCAATTTTTCCAGCAACATTTGCTAAAGAGATTTTCTTTTCATCATTGGGTTGTGTTGTGCCCAATACTAAATACCAGCTATAGTGTGTGTGGAAGAACAGGGGCTGAGGAAGGACATTTAGAAGAAAAATAGGGAAGCAAAGCATTAATGAGACAAAGAAATGTGATATTATCTGTTGAAGGTATTTTATAGTTTAACCAACTGGACTAGGGAGAAATGTTCACATAGTGAAATACTCACTTTGTAAGTTAAGAAAGGTAATTGAATGTATAAAAAAATGAAAAAAAAGAATTGATTAGCTGTGTGTTTTGGGGTATATTTCTGGGTTCCCAATTCTGTTCCATTGGTCTGCTTGCCTGTTTTTGTGAGAAATACCATGCTGTTTTGATTATTATGGCTGTGTAATATGTTTTGAGGTCAGAAAGTGAGATGCCTTCTACTTATTCTCAGTATTACTTTCATGATACTGAACACATTATGATTCTAGACAAATTTTATTATTTTTTCTCTTTCTATGAGTAGTATCTCTGGTAATTTAATCAGAATTGCATTGAATTTATAGATCTGGGAAAGATGGACATTCTGACTATATTAAATCTTCCAATCCAGGAACATGAGATTACTATCCACTTTCTTGTATCATTTTCAATTTCTTTTTAAGTTTTTCATAGTTTTCTTATAGAGATCTTTGACTTCTTTGATTAAGTTTATCTCTAGCTATCTAATGCTTTTTGAGTTTATTATAAATGGGATTGATTTCTTCAGTTCCACCTCAGTCTGTTCATTGTTGATGTATAGAAATGCTATAGATTTTTTGTATGTTGATTTTATATCCTGCTATAATACTGTATTCATTTATCACTTCCAGGAGTTTTCTTGTGGACTCTTTTGGGTTTTCTATGTATATAATCATATCATTTGCAAATAGAGATAATTTCACTTCCTTTTCTATTTGAATGACTTTTGTTTTACTCTCTTGTCTGACTGCATTGGCTGGGACTGCTACTATTATGTTGAAAAAGAGAGAAGGGGGTTGGCAGGTGGCATGGTGGTTAAAGGCACTGGACTCCCATATGGTCATCCACAGTTCAAGGTCTAAATCTGGTGGCTTGCTTTCTCACTTTCCCTCTGTCTCGCTGATCAAACTGGAAAATAATAATAATAAAGTTAAATTCAAAGAAAGAAAGAAAGAAAAAAAAAAAGGAAAGAAAAAAGTGGAGAAAGTGGGCAGCCTTGTCTTATTCCAGAAAGCTTTTATCCATTCAGTGTAATGTTAGCTGTGGGTTTTCATATATGCCTTTTATTGTGCTGAGAAATATCCTTTCAATGCTGATTTTGCTGAAAGTCTTAGTCATGAAGAGATGTTGTATTTTTATCAAATGCTTTTCTGCATCAATTGATGTCTCATTTGTTTTGTCTTTCCTTCTGTTAATGTGATGTTTTACATTTATTGTTTTGCATATGTTGAACCAGCCTTATGTTCCTGGATAGAGCTTACCTGATCATGGTGTATAAACTTTTTAATGTGTTGTTGGATAGGATTTGCTAGTATCTTGTTGAGAATTTTTGCATATGTATTCATTAGGAGTATTGATCTGTAGATTTTGTTATATGTTGTTTTGTCTGTTTTGGGGATCAGGGTGATGTGGGCTTCATAGAATAAATATGGGAGGGGTCCTTCATTTTGTGTCTGTAGAAATAGTTTGAATTGAATGGGGGTTAGTTCTTTTAAAGTTTTGTAGAACTCATTAGTGAAACTATTAGGACCTGGGCTTTTTTTTTTTGGCTAAGAGACTATTTATTACTGATTTGATATCATTACTTGTTGTGAGTCTATTCAAGCCTTTGATGTCTTCCTGTTTCATTCTTGGTAGATTATATGTCTATCTCATCTAGGTTTTTTTGTTTGTTGGCATGTAGTGGACATGGTATTCTCTTATGATCTTTTGTTTTTCTGTTATGTCTGCTGTAATAGTGCCGGTTTCATTGCTGATTTGACTTACCTGATTCCTTTCTCTGTTCTTCTTGATTAGCCTAGCTAACGGTGTGTTGATTTTGTTTATCTTCTCAAAGAATGACCTTATGGTTTTATTTCCTGTATCATTCTTTTATTGTCTATTTCATTTACTTCTGCTCGCATCTTTATTAATTCTTTTCTCCTGGTGTTTTTGGGGTACTTTTGTTATTGTTTTTCTAGATCTCTGAGATGTGTTGTTAGGTTATCTATTTGCCACCTTTTCAATTTTTTTTCTTATGAGCACTAATTGCTATGAACTTCCCTCTTATGACTGCTTTACTGTGTCCCACAGGTTATAAAAATCCATGTGCTCATTATCATTGGTTTCAGTGAATCTTCTGGTGTCAGCCTTAATTTTGTCAGTGGTTATGAAGTTATCCAGGAATAGGTTGTTAATTTCCATGTATTTGGATATTTTCAAGGGTTCTTCAGTTAATTTCAATTTTAATTCCATTGTGGTCTTAGAAGATGATGAGTACAGTTTCTATACCTTTGAATTTGTAAAGGCTTTTTTGGTGCCCTATCATGTGGTCAAGCTTCGAAAATGTTTCATGTAGTACTGAGAAAAATGTGTATTTTGTGGTTCTTGGCAAAATGTTCTATAGATGTTAAGTCTATTTTATGATATAATTTAGATTCTGTATCTTTTTGATTAGTTTTTGTCTAGATGATCTGTCCAGAGGAAACAGTGGGGTGCTAAGATCCCCAATGGTTAGTGCATTGCCATCTCTCTCTTCCTTTAGATTTAGCAGTCTTTCTTTGATATATTTGGGTGCTCCTGTGTTGGGTGCATAGATATTTATAAGTGTTATATCTTCATGATAAATTAGCCCATTTAACACTGGATAGTATCCTTCTTTGTCTCTTCTTTCAGTTTTTGTCTAAAGGTCTATTTTGTCTGATATCAGTATCACAACTCCAGCCTTTTTTTAATTTTCATTTGCATGGAATA